CCTCTGTCTCAGCTCCTCTGTCTCTCCTCCAACCTCTGTCTCAGCTCCTCTATCTCTCTATTGTATGTCTCCAGTTCAGTGTATACTTGGTCAATGTCAGTGGTGAAGTACAGCCCATAGTTTCCTGCCATCATGTCCTCTATCTTCTCCAGCAGCTCTGTGACCTGAGTGCGGTCACCCCTGTTCTTGTCGTTGAGAACATGATACCTGTTCCCACACTTCTCCACCAGACACTGGAGCTCCTTCCCTCCTCCCTCAATGTGTTGCTCAATGGTTGTGTGTGTCAGTGTGTCCCCACAGGTGAACAGCACTATTGTGTGTCTCCACACTCTCTCATTGAGAAGCTCCAGATATTCCTTCACTGATCTCCAGTCTGTGTTTGAGTCGAGATCAATCACCAGGAGGAGAGTGTGGGGTCCTGGGGGACACAGAGACACAATGTACACAACCTCCTGTCTGATCTGCTGAGGATCATTCCTCATCAGCCACACATCCCAGCCTGGAGTGTCGACCACAGTGATCTGCCTCCCAGCTACTTCACCCTGTCTCTTCTCACACTCCTCAGGTACTCCCTCAGTGTCAAACTCCTCTCTGCCCAGGATGGTGTTTCCTGCTGAGCTCTTCCCAGACCATCTCTTCCCCAGCAGCACGATCCTGATCTCTGAGAGACGCTGTGGTGCCTCATGGGATTCAGCCCGTCTCCTCCCTGTCAGGGAGAAAGATCACAGATTATTTACATGATTAAGTTCTCATCACAGATATCTTCACTCTTCATCCCATTTAAAATTCATGATAAAAACTCCTCTGTATCTTTTCTATTGTCCCTGCCCTGTGAGAGAGGAAAATCACAGATTATTGAGATTATTTTTCTGTGTATTCTCTGTGGTATACAAAAATGTTCTGTTAATGTTAATCAGACTGTATTCTTAAAACATTCTTATTCTGTATTATTACAATTTATATTAAATATTTGTTTATTTTAACTGTTCTCTCAATAGTACATGTTTATTTTTCATAAGGATTTTTTTTCTTAGAAAAATTTTACCTCACTGAAAGGTCAGATTTCTCTCATCTGATAAACAACACAGACATTTTTCCATCGCCTTCCTTGCTCATCTTTACCAAGGGCGCCAATACTTCAGGAGGGCCCTGTAGAGTCCCACTAACACTCTGAGTGTCCAGTGGCAGTTCAGACACATATGGGACTCCTGTGTTCAGTATGAACCTTTATACCACCTTATTTTTAAATAAGTGTACCACACTGTTAGGCTGGAGGAATTGAGTCTCTTTCGTCTGTAGGGAGTGTCCCACACTGACAGGGTGAAGATAGTGAACCATATACTGTATATACAAAATATTCAACATCCTCAGTGGCAGTCAGTCATTAAAGACCAGTTAGATATTGACACCTCAGAGTTCCTCAGAATTAACACTGAAGCTCAAAGCAACACTAAGACTTAAAATCAGGAGTGGGAGGCTCTACTGTACACAGAGGGGGTGGGAGAGGGGAGCAAGCTGCCCACCCCTGTTGTTGAAGATGATACCCTGGCTTCTCTCCAGACACAGCTGGATGAGCTCCTGCAGTCAGGACATGGGGCTCTACTGTACAGAGAGGGGTTAAGGGAGGGAACAAGCTGCCCAGTTAGGACAGGAGAAACAGCTGCACGAGAACCTGGAATCACTACTAATTATGGGCCAAACAAATTCCTCTGTTGTTCATCTGTACTGATTCCTCTCTGGTATTATCAGCTGTACAATAAACACGGCCCCTGAGCAACAAACAAGAAATGTTCATATCTGAGCGTGTCTGAGCATCATGAATACTAACAGTGTGAATCCAATACCATCAGCACACAGTCAGGTTTAACATTAATCATTTCACCTTAAATAAACACCTTATTAATATATTTAGTGCATTCCAAACAGCTTGAGTTTACAGTACCGACCTCTGATCCCTGACAAGAGAAAGTGAAAGTAAAACAGTTCCTGTCTCTCTCCTAGTTCAGACCCCGTGTGTCTGACACACAGAACACACTCTCAGCAGACAGGAAGACACTTCTCCAGCTGCTGCTGTGCTCTGTGACAGAGAAGAGACCCTCAGTGACTCCCTTACCGACTCTCTGACAGGCAGAACAAGAGAAAACTCACCAGGGCTGAGCGCTGCCATCTCTCTCTCTCTCCTTCTCTTCCTGGTGATGTGAGGTGGCGGGTTTCCTGTCCTCGCTGTGACGCTGCTCTGGCGCCACCTAGTGGATTCATAAAGTTAATCACCACCTTAACAGGTTCATCAGTAAGAGCAAAATAAAACACCAGAATACCCAGATCAACTCTTACTAGCATCCTTGGACACTGGGGTCCACACCCCTACTCTCACACACAGTGTCCTGATCTGTACTGACCAGCAGTCGGGACACTGGGGTCCACACCCCTACTCTCACACACAGTGTCCTGATCTGTACTGACCAGCAGTCGGGACACTG